TATACAGATTTAGAGTTCCAGTTATAAGCCATTTTGCATCCCGAATTAATCTAAATGGTTGCTTCTTGGCATCCAGATCTCTATGCTTTTAGAGTAGATGCATTTATCTTAATTGGAGGTGATTTAAAATTTATGTTCTCCCTCTCTTCTCGGTAACCCTCAAAGTTTTGCGAAAATTATCGGAGACAGAGCCGAGGGCATTGTAGTGGTACCATTTGGACCTATGCCCTGGTAGCTCGTCTTTACATCTCTTCTGAAAATGGCCACATTTATTTTCAGGCTAGTAAGGATTTAATTTTGTATTTTAACAAATCGATAGCTGTACCATCAAGCAGTTTGATTCGGGTCTAAAGCTGTGGTATCAGTTCTACCACTCAAAAAATGAAAGTTACTTTACTGCATAAGGTCCAGTCGCCCTGGCCTTTTTACAGGAGCAATATCACAGGGAGCATTTTATGATACCCTCAATTCTTATCGGTCTGTAGTCCAACTCCTAGGACCCTCACTAACTAAAGACGTTCGCATAAAACGGTTTCTTAAAGGTATTTTCCATTCGAGACCCAGTTTACACAAGTATAGTAGCACTTGGGATCCCTTGATCGTTTTAAATTACCCAAAGACTCAAATTAATGAATACATTTCACTAGAGCAGATCTCTTACAAATTAACCATCTTAGCCTCTTCTTTCGGCGCAGAGGCTCCAATCGCTTAATCGCGCTCGCTTGAGCTTGCCAATATAAAATTGTCCACCCAAGGCTTCCAGACATTTATACGCAGTCGTATTAATACAAATTTCTTAGGCGTTCTATAAAAACGAAAAAGTTATTTGTGTGGCTACTACTTTTTATTTCAAACTAAATCTAGAGGATATTTTAGGTGTAACAGACTTTTAGTCCATTTCTCGCTAGATCCTTAATGATATGTGTGTGGCTAATACTGACTCTAGTGAATATGGCTCTCATTCGACCAGATATGCTTCCACTTCGATAGCTGACCGTAAAGGTATCTTAGTAGATATAATTAGGTCGGCTGTTGGCTGGACCGACAATTCGAAAACTTTTACGACCTTTTATAGAGATCTGTTTGTGATTCATATGCTTTTGCTAGGGCCATATTAAAATGGTCAAAAAGTTACTTTGTGTTATACTTCGTTCAGTGTCTCTATTATGTTACTTTATATCATACGAGTATTAATGTTTTTTATATATGTCCTTTTATTTTGACATATTACCTAAATCTTCCGGGTTGGTTTTCTGCCCCATGAGTTTTTTGCGTTGTTGAGTAATGCAGTGGCACAATTAATACAGTGGAATACAGTGGTACAATTAATATATCTTTAAACATCTACGTTGTAATCTTATTTACGGAACGAGGACAAAATATAATTACTAAATCAAACGAACTTACCTGTAATGAAGTTCGATTGTAATTATATGAAGTCCTCGTGAAGTAAATAAGTCCCTCCCTCCCTGTCTAACGTTTGCGTCCCCATCTTTAATTGCAACAACTGTAGATAGTTGTTTAAATAATGAGCTCTATGTGGTGCAGGTCCATCGTAAGGGCCCAAAGTGGGGTGCGGGTTGTTTACTTTAAAATTCGTGGTGTACGGTGAGATACGGGAAACTACGTTGTAATCTTATTTACTTCACGAGGACTTCATATAATTACAATCGAACTTCATTACAGGTAAGTTCGTTTGATTTAGTAATTATATTTACTTTCTGACTATTTTATATACAATTGGGTGATGAATTGGTCACTTTTAAAAATTTATTTTTAGTTAAATTTCCAGCATGGTAGTTAATATAAAGTAAAACGAGAGCGCATCAAAAAATTATCATATGATATGTAGGTACTATATATTCCACAATAAAACTTTCTCCGCATTAAAATTTACTGGTCTCTTGACTCTAACTAAATAATTCACAATGATGTGCAAACTCTTACACAGATTGATAATGTTATGGTGTCCATATTATTTCTAACATGTGCAGAGTAATGTAATGCGATACATTTTGTATTTAATAACTATATTTAAAAGTTTTCTAAATAGAACACCATGCAATAAAAAAATCGAATAATAAAACAATATGCGCTTCTATAAAACATTTGTGAGGTTGCGCTGTAACTGTGTTATAAAGATTCCTTAAAGTGTTTCTTGCAGTCTTTAGAGAACAGCGTAAAAACTAAAAACTTCTATAAAACGGTTGATTTTCAAGATATAAATGCTTTAAGAGAATTTATTTATTGGCATCAATATCATTTCAATTTTTCAAAATTCAAATTTAGGAATACCTAAACCAGTAAGAATGACGGTTTAAACCAGTAGATTGACTTACTACTCTTTCCGCTTTCTCCAGAGCCTCTTCTCGATGCATGTTGAGAATAGGAAGACGAATCTCTTCTGCCGCTTCGGAAAGAATCAGTACTGTCTCTTCGAGCAGACGTCGAACTAGGACTGATTATTGTAGTGGTAACCGACTCTCTCCTTTGCCACAGTTTTGCTACTTCCGATTTAAAATCCGAAATAGCAGTATGGTGTGAATCTCTTCGTGATTTCGATCCCATGCTTCTAATTCCAGAATCGGCACTTGATTCCCTTCTTTTCCTATAAAAGAAAGATATCTAATTAATTTTTTCAATTGCCTTTGAACTTTATATCTTATGATCGAAAGAAAATAGCGTTCAGTTGACTAGGAAATGAACATCGATGAACATACGGGTCCGGCAATAGTGCGTCGGCTCCTAGAATAAAAAACTTGAGAACTTTGTTTTAGTGCAAACCTAAAGTATGTACCAGGATGTATTTCAGGAAAATATTTTAACTTCTATAAGGTGGTTCAAAAAAGTGTGAGCGGACCTGGATGATTTTTTTTAAATGGAACACCCTGTATATTATTGCATTTTTGGCTTCCTTTCAGATCACTTTACATAACCCTAAGATATGAGTAGATATATTTCCATAGTTTCAGAGATATTAAAAAATAAATCAAAAATATATATTTTTCAGCCCTTCTTAAAAAAAAATATTAAAATTACAAGAACTGTTTTGAAATCAAAACGATATTAGGTATTTACTTTAGATAGTCTGTTCTTACTTTGCTATAAATAATAATAATCGTAATTCATACAGGATGTTTAATATTCTACGCCAAACTTTCTAAAATATAAAATATTTTTTCTTTGTTTTTTTTTAAATGGAACACCGTGTATATTATTTTTTTATTAGATGGAGAGTTTAAAAATGAACATTTTTTGTATTTAGAGTATCTCAAAATTTTTAACGGTTTCGCAGATACAGGCAGTATTATTTCATATAGCGCTTTCAATGGTAAAATACGAGAGAAAAATGTTTGGGTGGCTTTGATAAAAATTTACTGTGGAAAATGCCATATGAAATATAAAACCGCAAATATCTGCGAAACCGTTAAAAATTTTGAAATACTTTAAATACAAAAAATGTTCATTTTTTAATTCTCCGTATATTGAAAAAATAATATACATGGTGTTCCATTTAAAAAAACGAAGAAAAATTATTTTATACTTTAGAAAGTTTGGCGTAGAATTTTGAACATCCCGTATAATTTACGATTTTCATATTTATAGCAAAGTAAGTACAGACCATCTAAAGTAAATACCTAATATAGTTTTGTTTTCAGAACAGTTCTTGTATTTTTAATAATTTTTTTAAGAAGGGCTGAAAAAACTATATTTTTGATTTATTTTTTAATATCTCTGAAACTATCAAAATTTATTTATTCATATCTTAGAATTATGTAAAGTGATCGGAAAGGAAGCCAAAAATGTAATAATATACAGGGTGTTCCATTTAAAAAAAAATCATCCAGGTCCACTCACACTTTTTTGAGCCACTCTATAGAAGTTAAAATATTTTCCTGAAATACATCCTGGTACATACTTCAGGTATGCACTTAAACAAAATTCTCAACTTGTTTATTCTAGGAGCTACAGATGCCCGACGCACTATTGCCGGACCCTGAATATGTATTTGCCCTATAAATTTATGTATAAAATGACTTCGATCTTCGTTTCATAGCTATCGCTAACACCGTTTTAATCCATTGTATGGTATACAGGGTGGTCCGAACTGTATTCCGGAAACTTCGTCACCATATTCTGCAGCTTAAAATAAGTAAAAAAGTTCGTATAAATGTATGTCCTAAAATGCTTAGTTTCAGAGATACAGGATGTCGAAATTTCATTTTTATTTCGATTGTTTCCAAATAATTTCTCAAATAATGTCAATATTTGGATGAAAATTGGTATCTGGGAGTTTTTTGATATGAGAAATTTGATTTTGATGTCAATATGACTCCTATATGTAGGAGGCGCCACCTACATTGTGTTTTAACTGATTTGAAGAGTAATAACTTTTTGTCCGTACCTGTATAAAACTACTGAGTAAAAATACACATTTACGATGATTTTTACGTAAAAAAGATCTCTTGGTAAAAATCGCTACGAGTAACGGTTCTCGAGATATTCGAAATCGAAATTATCAATACCTGTCATCATTGACAAATTGAACATGTTGACTAAATAGTCATTAGACTGAAATTATAAATTTGAAATGTTTTTGTGTCAAAAGTTTAATAGAAATTGTTTTATCATCATTTTTCCGCCGAAAAATTTATGATAAAAAAAAATAAAAATTTCCCAAATCTATTATTTCAGTTAAATAACTATATCTACTCAGCGTGTTTTCTATTTCCATTCGAAATATCTTGAGAACGTTTGCTCGTAGCGATTTTTACCAAAAGATAATTTTTACGTAAAAAGTCATGAAAATTTATATTTTCTACTCAGTAGTTTTATACAGGTACGGACGAAAAGTTATTACTCTTCAAAGCAGTTAAAACACATGTAGGTGGCGCACCCTACAAATAGGAGTCATATTGACATCAAAATCAAATTTCTCATGTCAAAAGACTCCAAGACACCAATTTTAATAAAAAAATTGACGTTACTTCAGAAAGTATTTGGAAAAAATCGAAATAAAAATGAAACTTCTACACTCTGTATTTTCGAAAGTAAGCATTTTAGGACACATTTATACGAACTTTTTTACTTAGTTTTATCTGCAAAATATGCTGCCGAAGTTTTCGGAATACAGTCCGGACCACCCTGTATACAGGGTGATCCGGTATTCGGTAAACTTACGGCAGTATATTTTGCAGATAAAAATAAGTAAAAAAGTTCGAATTAATTTATGTCATAAAATGCTTCTTTTTAGAGATACAGGATATAGAAGTTTCATTTCTATTTAGATTGTTTTCAAATAATTTCTGAACTAATGTCCATATTTGAATGAAATCGGTTTTGGGATTTTAATGTCAATACTGCGCGCCACCTACATATTTTTTACGTGGTTTGAAAAAAAAATAATTTTTCTTCTGTACCTGTAAAAAACTATTGAGCAAAAAATATAAATTTCCCTCGTTTTTTACGAAAAAAAATCTCTTTGTAAAACTTGCTACGAGTAATGGTTTTCGTGATATTTGGAACCGAGTTAATCAATACATGTCATGGTTGACAAAAATTGATCATGTGGATTAGATAGCTATTAGGGTGAAATCATAAATTTGAAATGTTTAAAAAATGTTAGAAAAAAAATCATGATTAATTTAAAAGTTCACAAATTTATAATTTCAGGCAAATAACTAACTAGTGAACGTGTTTATTTTTTGTCAAGGAAGACATGTACATTGATAAATTATACATGTATCTAGAATCTAGAGTACGGTTACTCGTAGCGATATCTCGCTTTTTTACGTAAAATAGAGCGGAAATGTATATTTGTTTACTTATTAGTTTTATACAGGTACGGACGAGAAGTTATTATTTTTCAAACCAGTTAAAAATATGGAGGTGGTGCCCCCTACAAGTAGGAGCCATAAACACAACGAAATCAAATTTCTTATGCCAAAAAACACCAAGCACCAATTTTCGGATTTTCGAAATAAAAATTTAGCTTTTAACAAGTAATTAAAATTCATAATAATAATATATTACTTTATCATGGCCTTAAAATATTCGAATATAATAATTCGAATATTGACGGTTTTTTGAATTCAAAATCGTGAGAAAGTTTGTTCTAGCACTGAAAGTTGCAGAATGATAATACTTACAGTTTGTTTAAGGTTGACAAATTAGATTGTAGATTAGTACTATTTTTCTTTCAATTGGTAGGAGGTTTAGATGTAATGAGTATGCAACAAAATTTTGGAGTTTACTTCAATTGGTAGGAGGTTTAGATGTAATGAGTATGCAACAAAATTTTGGAGTTTACTTACTACAGTTTTATTTTAAAATTTAAAAATCACCTAATTTAATCGCTTGTGATACTTTTAGAGTTTAAACATCATTTGAAAATTTTGAAATACATATAATGTGGTAGATTTACGCCCTTATTTCATATACGAACTGCCGCAAGCAGGTTTAGGGCAAAGAATAATTAATAATTTTTTTAATTAAAATGTTTTTTATTCCTGGTGCTAAACCTGCTAACGCCATCCTTGCCATCTAGGAGATGCGAGACCTTGTGAAGCTCCTAGTCAAGTGCATGGGAGAATTTCCCAGGCACTTTGCCTGACTTTAAAGAACATCTTACTGTCTTGTCCATGGCTGTAGTGTCGTGGCTAGGGAATTGCACCAAGACGTATAACTATGCCGGATGGGACTATGCTGTCCGTCATACTAGGCACCCTCTACTATCTGTGGTCACGTATCACGGGCAGAGCGTGTAGCGGGGGTCTAGCTTAACCGCCCGGAGGGGATTCACCCTATATAGCCCACATAAAGTGCCACTTTAGGCAATGCCATATTGTCACTTCTTTGTGTGGCACATAATCAAAGCACCTATGAACTTTCGGACGTTTTTTGGTCACACAGGCGGTAAATTTGCCAAATTTGTTGTACTGTAAATGTATTTGACAGTATTATTGTAATAATAAATAATGTTACCTATATAAAATCAAGCTGTGTATGTTTTTCCTATGTACACACGTTTGTAAGTCATTTATCGGATTTAAATGAGACTATAGTGAATTGTTCTGTATAGGTTTGCGAGAGTTGCGCAATCTCAAAGGTTAATATTATGTTTGTTCAACGATTAAACTTCAGTATCAATGACAAAAATTATAACATACAAAAATTGTAATAAACCACAAACTTAGTTGAGCGTAGTGGCTGTGAAACTTTTAATATCCGAGAAATTCTTCTTTCTACTGAAACTGAAATTTTAAAAATTACAGTTAAGTGAAAATTCCTATATATTCATAGTTAGCCATACGATTCCACAAAAAAAAAACAAATGATTATGGGATATTATTATTTGTGACTCTAGATTTGAAATATTCCGTAAAATATTGCGTGCCATTTTTCGACTTAAACGCTTCCACTTAATCCAGAAGTTGGATTACACGGCTACCGCTACTTTAGTTATGTGTTTTTATAATGTTGCAGATATTTATTTTGCTAACAAAGAAAATCAAACTTTTAAGTTTGCATGCAAATGCTGTTTTCAATTCTACAGGAATAAGAAAATTAAATCAAAAGGTTAAATACCTATCTACTATGTTAAAAAAAGTGGTTTGTTAAAAAAAATATGACAAAAACAGATTATTTAATAAATTGTATCATAGCTGAATCGAGGATGAAGAGCTTGCCTCTGTGGAGCCGTCTCAGATACTGACTTTTGTTAAAGACTTGAGACTGTATGATGAGTTATAACTCGTTATAACTCAAGAAAGGGGAACACACAATAGATCTGTAAGGTCGCGGTGATTAACTCCCCTCCTAAACATTCTACATCATAGCTGAATATTTAAAATTAAATTTATATCTATTATTAGCAACATATTAATCTACAATATGGATACTTTCAACACGTACAATAATGCAGGAAATTTTAAATGGGAGAAAACATTAACACTGGACAATGACAGTATTTCTTGCATATAATGTCGTTATAACGAATGCACGAAAGAACTAAAAACTTGGACATCACAAAGGGCTTTTCTAACCTGAGTTTAATAGTCATGTTTCTTGTTGGTCTGTATATAAAGGAGTTAAAACCATAGTGTGTTCTACTACGTATGGGTGATGAAAAAGTGTTTGTAGAGCGTGTAATTCTTGGAACTGGAACAAATATTCCTAGCCTGTATAGAAAAATAAAATAAATTTTATTATCTGTATAAAAAGTGTCTATGTTTTTTGTGTAAATATGTGTTTATGCTTTCTACATTAATTAAATAAAATATGCACATAAACTACAAACTTAAACTTTAACGGCTAAACTGAATAATTTTCCTTTGGTCGCTACAGAGTGGTCTGGTAAACATCTCTATTAAATAACATAATTTAATAGAAAATAAAATGTTTTTGTATCTCTATCTACAATCAAGCTTTAAAAAACGTGGTAAACATAAAAAAATATTATTTTCACATATTTATATACTCCCAGCAATTTAAACATATTTTTCTTGAGCATTATAGGTCAAATGGGCTTTTTAGAAACTGCACAGAGATATTGGATGTTTCTTTTTATTTTGTAAGAACACAAGCGCAAAGACTTCATTTCTAGTCACCCCTCTTCAGCTGTTGTTTCGCATACCATAGTGTCTCTTTCAATATTCACCCAAAGTCTTAGTTTTCTTCGTATTTTTTGCTTGAGACCTTGATCTTTTTTCGATCATTAGATAGATTGCAATATAGATGCTTTGGCTAGATTTTAAGAAAGTCTATTTGTATATATAGCTTTGGTGTATAATATATGCATTTATCAGGGGCGGCTTGTAGCACTAGAAGATGGTGAGGCACATTAGTAAATATGAAATATCATGGCAATATGCGGGGTTACCATGATATTTGAAATTTACTAAAACTTTGGTTAAAGATAATAAGTATATCTGAAAAGTGGTAAAAACCTGGAGTGAATTACCTTGTTAATTAATTTATTAACATTGCAATATTATAATGCTATATCGCATTTTTTTTTAAATGCAATACACTGCATATTACTTTTCTTTGAGATACAGACTTAAAAAGCGCACATTTTTTATTTAAAATATTTCTAAAGTTTTAGCGATTTTGCATATCTGTTGCACTAATCTGTGGTTTCATATACTAATCTGTGGCTTCATCCGAGTAGTTAGATCAGTGGTAGACCGTAACATACATCATTATTCGTCACGATGCATGGATCGAAGTTTTATGTTAGATCGATTTAGTTTATGTATTATTTTGGACAAATAATACAAAATAGAAACAAAGTGAAGAAAATATATGATTGGCCGCCGGCGGTGGCCCCTACATAATATGTTTTCAACAGAAGTCTTAGTAAATAGTAAATAGCATAGCAATGCCGCATATTCCTTTAAATCAAAATAGTCAATTTTATGCTGAATCCAATTCTCTGCAGAAAAATGGCGGCTGTGATTTAAAAAATAACTTACAACTTTATTTCTTTTCTTAGCAACACATATACACCTTTATATGAATGATACATGGTTTATAAAAATGAATATTCTATAAATATAAGCTTTTTTCATATTTTTGTCAATAACGGCTACATTGGACTTCCTTGCACTAATAAGCCACCCGGTATGAAGAAAAGTTCACCTCTCACCCCTCAGATCCACGCATTCTTCCCATTCGCTTTAAAATAATGAAACTAAAGCAGCACTTACTTTGTACAAATACTAGGAGTAGGTCCAGTGTCATTCGCTGATTGTCTGCCCCAGGGTAAGCTCCTCGCAAGATCTGCTAAAGTTTCCCTGCGATGAAGTTGCTTTTGTTGTTTCTTGTTTCCACTCCATTCTCTTAATATATCAGTGAGTTGAGCAAGAGAGGAACGCCTTCTTCTTCCTGATGGTGGAGGCGATGTTTCTTGAGTTTCAGTTGGAGGTGATATTGAACAAATTTGAGTAGCCGAATCACGCCGACCACCTAGGCGCTGTCTTATAGTTGATTCCTCCAACTGCAACAAAAGTTTTCATAAAAATTTAAATTTTATAAGTACCTACTTACTCAATTTCATGCAAATGTGTGTTAAGTTTTGTGTGTGCTTGAATTTTTCTCTCTACAACCGTGACGGGTGCGGCTCAGTTGCAAGTGTGACGAGATATTACTATACTAGGATAGCAAAAGTACTTTCCTAATATTCGAGTTCGAGCTTTATTACAATTAATATATTTATCTAAATAGAGTGACTAGTCAGTTGCCGTTTTTCCATTAACTTCCTTGAGGTGGCCACCTAAATTAACACGCAAAAAGGTAAACCACCTAAAGTATATTTGTCCAATTTGGCGTATATCCCTTTTCAAAGAGGTGTTTTAGTTTTGAGATTTTCACAGTACAGCTAAGTTTAAATTTTGGTGTTCCCACTACCTTAAGATGACTATAAACGTCATCTAGTAATTCCTTCTCACTATTACTATCCACATCCTTTGGTTTCATTCTGATGTCTTTGGTTTGATTCTGATGTTTCATGTAGTTGTAATCCTTCTGTAACTTTGGTTGTGAATGAAGCCATTTGTGGGCCCCGTTCAACGTAAGAATTACACGTTCAGCTATTGATGCTTTCAGAGAGCTAAAAGTATTGTAGTGATGGCTTTTATATTTTTTTATCAAATTGGTTGTAAATTATAATCATCATTTGAAATTGGTTATTATAATAATCTTTGCCATTACCGAACACCAGCTTTATAGGAATTATATTTGACGATTTCAATATGACGTCCATAGGGTTAGTAATGTCCGTTGCAAAGTTTGGTTTCACTGGTTTCGTCCATAGATATTTCGAAAAACAATCAATCACAACCAAAATATATTTTTCATAGTTAGACGATACTTCGGTAACCGATCTTACTTACAGTTCTGCAGTCATACTGAATAAATCTTCCTCTTTTGAATTTAATACAAGCTGGTTTATGAAATTCCCTAACGACTTGTTCTCTAGGTTTCATCGTATTCTCTAACAAAATGATGTTAGTATACTTGTATTTAAACGCATTTATGTTAGACTAGAATTTTTATTTAATCATATATAAATCATCGGCAACGACTTTTACATCATCCATATTGTATGATATATCATTTATTTGTTGGTTCAATTTGTTTCTCACACATCCTCTGATACTGCCTTGTTTTAAATATTATGAATAATCTATAAATCATACTCAGTGTTTGATATTGTAGTGCGACCTGGTTACCCAACAATTGTTTGTTTAATATTTCATTAATTATTGCAACAACAAAAGCATAGCATACCATCTTTTGTAACTAGGTTAGCGAATTCGAATAAATGCATTCAAAGGGTGAACATGTCTTTGATTTTTCCCGTATTGGAATGAGACGACATCACATGGCGATCCTGCCTAAGGGCTTTAATTTAAATAAGTTTAGTTAAACAGTATAGTCCAAAGTGAATGTGAAAAAGTGAAAATAGTGAAACAAAATAAACTAATTTACCATGGGAAAGACAAATTTTAAACATTCGGAACTAACCGATAATGGTGTGGTCAACTCCAACTTCATCGTAGAACAGGAGAGCATACAAGTGCCAACAGATGTTCGAGTACTACTGTACATTGTAGTATCAGTTGTGGTAATTTTACTTCTACTAAAATTACATAAAGCGTACCGAAGGGGGCTCCGAAAAGACTTTTCCAGAAGCATGGTCCTTCGAACCCAAGCAGCAACAGATGTTTAGTGCGAGCAGTACTTATTGATGGACAGTGTTGATGGTATGTGAATATACAATTTTTTGCGTTGTTTTTATAGCCTTTATTTAACATTTATACTCGGTGTGAACGTTTTATTTTTATTTTTTACATGAAATTACATGAATTTATTTCAATATGAAAATTCTTAAGTATATTTAATTATTACCTACACAAAATAAAACTTCGCTATTTTAACCAAAAATGTACAACATTTTTTATTTTTTTAATTAAAAAGAAAGAAATTCTATTAGGTATGAATTAATTAATTACTTTTTGTTATGTTTATAAGGATAAGAAGTTTTTTTTTGTTTTTGGTATTTAATAAGGGATATTGTGTTTTTTTTGTTTTTGTATAATTGTTATTTCTTGCTTTTGTATAATATATGTCTGATTATTGGGAAGGGATCCGTGCCAAGCTACTAAGTTAATCTCGTTAGAAACGAATCAAAACGCGTTCTTAAAAAACAAATACCTAAAAGTGATACAATTAAAAATAAAGCCCAAGCTAATTTATTGGAGCACTTTAATAATTTTGTTAAATTCGTACGATTTGTTTATCCATCACTTAATAAAGAACAGGAAATTTACATTAAAAAACTTTTTACTTCGTTGAGAGATAGAGACATAAGATCATATCAGGTTTTAAAAGTACCCTACAAAGTTCCAACTTCGTATTTGGAATATATAAATCTAGAAATATTTGACGAAGAATTCGAGGAAAGTGAAGATAAAGAAGAGTCCTCTGAATCAGAGGCAATCCCAGAACAAAATATTCCTAAAATAAAACTTGAAAACATGGCTATGTCAAAAACAGAATTTTTCAATTTTGCGAGTAAAATTTTTCCCAACGAATTCGACAACGGTTCTCCAAGTAAATTACAGTCCGTTATAGACGCCTTAAATTTACAAAGTAAAGGTCGAGTAAACTGCGTAAACCACGAAAATAATGCGGTGGCCTATGTGAAAACGAGACTGGTTGGAAAAGCACGTGATTTAATAGATGATAACGATAATCTGGATACCATAATTAATAAGCTACGAACACGCATCAAAACAGAAAGTTCTCATATGGTAACAGCAAAAATACTTTCTTTAAAACAGTAACATAAAGATTCCACAAGATATGCCACAGAGATTGAAGCTCTAGCAGAAACTCTGAAAAGAGCCTATGTACATGAAGGAGTGCCCATAGCAGTAGCTGAATCCTATACGACAAATACGACAGTCAAAGCTCTAAGAACAAACAGCAATTCTGAGAAAGTAAAACTAATAATGGAGGCTGGTAATTTCACCAACTGCGAGGAAGCAATCTCTAAATTTATAACTATTAGTGGAGATACTACGCCAGATACTAGTACAATCTTTTATACAAAAAATCAGCATTACAGAGCTGGAAACAGGCATCATAGAGTGCATCAAAGTCGCGGAAGAGGACACTACTCAGGAAACTATGCTAATAATAATAATAGCGACAATCTACCCACCCAGAGATATTTAAATGCAAATCAACAGTACCATAATCATCATGGTCAATATAATAGAGGTCGAGGAAACTCTAGACCTAATCATAGAGGACAGTTTCCTAGATATGTCAGGCATTACACTCAGGAAGAGTCGGAAAACGTAGAGGACCCCCAGCCAGGTCCACTGGGGTCGCTATAAAAATATTCCATATGGACCTATCACTTTCGAACTTTCTTGTAGTCCAAACTAGTATGACAGATAATCGCAAAATTACTTTATTAGTTGATACAGGTGCGGATATATCTTTATTTAAGATTTTAAAATTTCTCCTAAATAATTTATTAATAAATATAACATAAGCAATATTAAAGGTATTACAGATGGCTCGACAAGTTCTTTAGGCACAACTAATACCCAAATTTTGATTAATAATTATGCAATAAATCACTCGTTTCATATAGTTGAGCAAAACTTTCCAATACCAGCTGACGGAATTTTAGGGCGAGACTTTATTTCGAAATATCAATGTCAATTAGATTATGCTAACTGGACATTAACACTACAAATTTTTAACGAAAAAACAACATTGCCAATATTTTCATGTCCAGAAGAGGAATCTTTGGTCATCCCACCTAGGTGTGAGGTCATAAGGTATATTAAAAAATTCACGCAACTAAAGACTGATTCTGTTATTTTGAATACTGAAATCGCCGACGGAGTTTTTATTGCTGGTTCAATTGTTTCAAAATCAAATCCAATAGTTAGACTTTTAAATACAACATTTGAAAGTGTCACAATAAAAAAACGCTGACATACAGTTTTCCAATCTAAAAAATTTTTATGTTTACTCAATTAACCTGGAACTAAATAATAGAGAATCAAATTTATTACAACAGTTAAGCAAAAACATCCCTGACTTTGCAAAAAACGATACTTTTAATTTATGTAAAGAATTTTCAGATATTTTTTGTTTATCATCTGATAAATTAACAAAAAACAACTTTTATGAAGAAAAACTTAAATTGTTTGATTCTACCCCAGTTTATATAAAAAATTACGGCACGCCGACACAAACAAATGAAATAAATTGTCAAGTCAACAAATTGCTGGAAAATTAAATAATCGAACCATCAACAGCGGAATATAATAGTCCGATTTTATTAGTACCTAAAAAGTCAACTGATGACCAAAATAAATGGCAATTAGTCATTGACTATAGACAGGTAAACAAGAAACTAAGTGCAGATAAGTTTCCTCTACCTAGAATAGATGACAGCCTTGATCAACTAGGTAGAGCAAAATATTTCTCAACGTTGGACTTAAAAGCCGGATTCCATCAGATTTCTTTGGAAAAGAACTCCAGGGATATCACGACATTCAGTATAAATAATGGCTCGTATAGATTTACTAGGTTACCCTTTGGACTAAAGGTTAGCCCAAACAGTTTCCAAAGGATGATGTCGATAGCATTTGCTGGAATTACACCGGAAAAAGCATTCTTATACATGGATGATCTAATTGTTATAGGCTGTTCAAAAAATCATCACTTGCAAAATTTGAGGAAGGTTTTTTATACTTGTAGAAATACAATTTAAAACTTAACCCAGAAAAGTGTAATTTTTTCCAAAAGGAGGTCACATTTTTAGGCCATAAAATAACAAGTCATGGCATTTTGCCTGACGATTCAAAGTTTGAAATCATAAACAAATTTCCTACACCGACAAATGCTGACGCGGTAAAACGGTTTGTCGCGTTTTGCAATTATTACCGTCGTTTCATTCCAAATTTT